ATATATATATACATATATAATAATTATATATACTTATATATAAAATAGTGCGACTCTCTTGGCGCGAACTTGGCGCGGGCCGCTATTCGGCGCCGATTTTATCGCCGATATTATTACACGCGACTATTATTAGCGGGGCGCGGTAATATGCGCAGCCCGACACGCGACTTGCCCACGTTTATCATCGCCCCGGCGATTTGTTGCTCGAATAAACAAGTCGTCGGCGCATTAAATCCGCGGCGATATATACCTGTATTTACGAAATATCGCGCGACCAAGATTGTCGTAGGCGCTGGTCTACCACCAAAGCTAAGAGCGAACGACCTGTTTTTGCGACGATTGCGATCGAGAGAAAAATACTCTGTCATCGAGAGAAAGAGAACAATTAAGTTATTTTAACCGAGCTGTTAAATACACGGCGATGTACAAATAACAAGATTTGAGCAGTGAGTTTATTTTTCACTGATTTCAACCGTTCAACGTTCTATGCTATTGCTTTCAGAAATTAGATACGCTGGCGAGAGAATTCTTGATAAATCTCGAAAACACTCGAATTTTACTACGAACGTTATCAACCGTTCGTGGTCAGACGCGTTCCTTTTCACGGTCCGTTATATTCCTTCAACATCTTCCACGATACAACAATTAAAGATCGCGAATAAAGGCCGGGGTCGACTTGGTACAGCCACGCGAAGAGGAAGGCTTCCGTATTCTAGCGGAATAACTAGAATTCCAGTATTGCAGTATGCGGTACAGAACTTTTGTCGGCGTTTTACGATTGCCATTGTATAGATTTCACGGGCAAATGCACGGAGCCGTATTTCCTATTTTTGCAAGCCGCCCCGTTTGATAGAACGTGCCCTCTCTCAGCGCGGACTGACCGCTCTTGTCTATTCTCGAATCGACGGGCGGGCATTCCGCGGCTTAGAAACGGCCGCCCGCAGAGGATAAGCCGCAGAATGGATAACGCGCAACCGGGTAACGGGAATGATGATTTTCCCACAAATGCACACGCGCGATTCTCACGAAAACTAGAGAAAATCTTGGAAAGAATCGTCGTCCGCGTCACGTCCCGAACAGATACAAAATCGTAAATCCTCGGGACTAACTTTTTTTTTCTTTACAAAAACAAGATTATGATGTAAAAACGCGCAAATTACACACAGCTCTCTCTCTCTCTCTCTCTCTCTCTCTCTCTCGTCTCATCGTTGCGACGTAATGGCGTTCTGTCATCCAGAGATAAGTCCAGAGATGACACAACGCGCCAACAATGGCTACCACTTGCGCGGACAAGAGAGAGGCCAGTCGGGAATCTTGTTTTCTTTCTGGCACTGTAGACGTCGATCCCCGCAAACGATAATAGACAATCACTTCTGCGTAATGCATTTCGAGGCCGTCTCGAAGATGCATTATCAAATCGTCTCGCAGTACAGTCGCGTCGCGTCGCATTCAGCTCCTCCTTTTTGTTTTTCATCAAAGTGTTTTTCTGGAAATGCAGCAAGGTATAATGGCTGAGCTTATTTTCCACGATTTTTTCTTCTTTCTCTGTTCCAAAA